TGTATGCTGTATCTGTGCTTTTAAACCATGTCTCGCTAAAACACATAAGACAACTCTCCCTGTTTTCATATCGATAGTCAGTGCAGGCTTTTAACTCGTCCAGTTAATTTCGGAGAGATTGCGAATTACCGGTAATAATTGACGGAAGAGGTGGGTTGAATTTTGAATTTTGATAGAATTATCGAGGGTCTTCATGTTTTAAATATGTGCAAAATCACGTGACCCTTTCTTCTGGTTGAAACCGGAAGTGCCTTGTAATTTAAAATTGGTGAAAGATGTGAACTTGCTTTCAACGATGTATACTCTGGCTAAGATCTTCTTTACCATAATATTATAGTTATAGATGAAACTTTATGTGACGTCATCATGACGTCATCACGTGACATGTGACGTCATAATTGAAAGCCCTATGAGAATGGAATCACATATTATATGCCACCATTTAGTATAAACAGAACGTAGTGCTCAATTGAACAGTTTCTTGCTTGATGGAACATATACTTGAAACTTTACATGCCACATGTCACAAAAAGTTACCGAAACAGCCTTATGTTTGTCCACAAACATAAGTCTAGGTTTTTTTTGTTTTTTTCTTTCTTTTTCAGTCATTTGCCCATAGCATTTGTACACGTTTTTTTTTTACCGGCACTTTTGGCACTAAAATCAATACGATTGACTTTATACTTGGCACACACTTAGACCAGCATCTGAAGTTGTGTGCCGAACATTGACATCATCTTGACGTCATCATGAGTCACGTGATGTCACATTATATGCGATTTTTCTATTGTGACCGTTTTCTAGCAGAATTCTGCTAGATCTGACAGATTGGGCTATATCTCCAGAACTACCGGTCCGATTGAATTGAAAGTTGGTACGTACCTAAACCGGAGTGTATTATAGATGAAAATTTAAGTGACGTACGATGATGTCATTACGTGACATGTGACGTCACAATATAGGTGCATATTTTGAAGGCCTATATCTCCATGACTACAGGTCCGATTGGGTTAAAACTTAGTATGTACCTCAACCGGGATGTGTTATAGATGAAAATTTAAGTGACGTCACGATGACGTCATCACGTGACATGTGACGTCACAATATAGGTGCATATTTTGAAGGCCTTTATCTCCATGACTACAGGTCCGATTGGGTTGAAACTTGGTATGTACCTGTAAACAGGGATGTGTTATAGATGAAAATTTTAGTGACGTTACGATGACGTCATCACTTGACATGTGACGTCTTTAGTGACATGTGACGTCATATTAAAAATTTCATATTTTGAAGGCCAATATCTACAGAACTACAGGTCTGATTGGGTTGAAACTTGGTATGCACCTAAACTGGGATGTTTTTAGATGGAAATTTAAGTGACATCATGATGACGTCATCACATGAAATGTGACGTAATATCAAATTTGCATATTTTCAAGGCCAATATCTACAGAACTACGGGTCTGATTGGGTTGAAATTTGTGATGTACTTAAACCGGAATGTGTTATAGATGAAAATTGAAGTGACGTCATGATGACATCATCACGTGACATGTGACGTCATACTAAACAAGCATATTTTGAAGGCCAATATCTACAGAACCACTAGTCCGATTGGATTGAAAGTTGGTATGTACCTAGACCGGGATGTGTTATAGATGAAAATTGAAGTGACGTCATGATGACGTCATCATGGGTTATGTGACGTCTCGTTAAAGATTAATAGATTTAATCTTTAAAAATTAATATAAAATCAACCGTGAGAGACTTGAACATGATTTTTGCAGGAATTGATTGAATTATCGAGGGTCTTCATTTTATAAATACGAGCAAAATCACGTGACCCTTTCTTCTGGTTGAGACCCGAAGTGCCTTGTAATTTAAAATTGGTGAAAGATTTGAACTTGCTTTCAACGAGGTATGCTCTGGCTAAGATGTGTTTTACCATAATATTATAGTAATAGATGAAACTTTATGTGACGTAATTATGACGTCATCACGTGACATGTGACATCATAATTCAAAGCCCTATGAGAATGGAATCACATATTATATGCCACCATTTATTATAAATAGAACTACACATCCTTCGTTGATGGAACACATGTCACAAAAAGCTACCGAAACAGCCCTATGTTTGTCCCAAAACATATGTCTAGTTTATTACGTGTTTTGATAGCTGGCCTCGTCCTCGGCCTTGGCCTCGGAGGTGGTGGCCTCGGCCTTGGCCTTGGCCTCGCGGTTGTGGCCTCGGCCTCGGCCTTGGCCTCGGAGGTTGCGGCCTCGGCCTTGGCCTCGGCCTCGGCGGTTGTGGCCTCGACTACAACACTGGAAAAGAAACACGCATCGCGATATCGGAACGCTTGCGCGTAGTTCAGGCAAGTCAAAAGATCTATCTTTCTTTGGTTTTTTTTAAATCTTTTTTTTCCATGGAAAGTGAATTTCGATTTTCAATTATTTAGCTTGACCCACCCACCCACAATTTGGAAAAAAGATCGAAATTTTAAAACATTGAAAATCCTGAATAGCCCCTAAGGTACCTCACTTTTCCGCTTATCTTTGAAACAAGTTTAAACATTTAAGATACTAATAATCAATTACAAAAACTCTTTTGGCATAGAATTTGAGTCTTTCTCTCTGACTTAAAAACAACATCTGTTTGCATGTTAAAACAAGGTGTCAAAGTGACTACCCAAAATCCATGATTTTAGCCGACACACAAAATCACCCTCAAGTATATTCCATCCCAATGACATACCACTCAAATGAAAGATCTTGTTGTCCCCTTTAATTTGATACCAAATTTGTTGTTGAGATGCATGCAGTTCTGAAGATTATTATTAATTTATATTTTTTTCATGTAATAATTAGCTGATGACGTCATAATGACGTCATACATGCCCTTTCCATCATCCAATTTTTTGCGTCCGTCTTGTTTTTCGAAAAGGTATACCATGGAGATGCTTTGGTGAAAAATGGTGCTTTTGTCCACTGTGTAACGGTTAGCATTTGTGTTACTAATGTACCTCACTATAAATGGTATCTTAGAAAAAGCAGGGGCTTTCGTTAAAGTTCTTTTTGTGGAATTCTCAAGCTTAGCGCTTTCAACACCATCCAACCGCATCTTCTGGCTCGAAAACTAATGATTTGGAATGTTAACCCCAGGCTTATTTTATGGATCAACGATTTTATAACCAATAGAAGTCAATGTGTTAAAGTGAATTCCACAATTTCATCCGTCCAGCACACTCACACAGGTGCCCCACAGTGATGTGTTTTGTCACCTGTCCTGTACACTTTGTATACAAATGATCTTACGACTCTGGCAACATCACATAGAATAATTAAGTATGCCGATAAAGCTGCTATTGTTGGCTTTCTGAATGGCAAACAAGAATCTCTAGATTGTTTCACTGGTGAGGTGGCAAAATTTACTCAGTGTTGTGATGAAAACTATCTCGAAATCAATATCAACAAAACCTAAGAGATGGTGATTGATTTTAGGAAAAATAAATCTCCAATTACACCAGCTATCATTAAATGCGAATGTGTGGAAGCAGTGTCTGTACATACAACTACTTGGGAACTGAAATTGATGACCAATTGAAATCTGACGCACGTAGTCAAAATATAACAAGCTGCAACAACGTTTGTTTTTTTTCTGCGCAAACTCAAGTCTTTTCACGTTGATAAAACTATTTTACAACTGTTTTACCAGTCCATTGTACAGAGTATTCTCACCTTTTGTCTTGTTTGTTTTTACGGAAATATGAGGTGCCAGGATCGGATTAAGTTAGACAAAATAGTTAAGCAAGCCAGTAAAGCTATTGGTTTACAACAAGAGTCTCCAGAGGCATTATACAGATCTCTTATGTGCAATAAAATTAAGACAGGTCTTTCCGACTCACATCACCCATTACATTCCAACTTCCAAACCAACTCCAGGAGTAATCGCTTTTTACAACGAAGGATCAGGACACGGCGATACGGCAGCTCATTCGTTCCAGCAGCTATCAAATGGTACAATGAGCAACTGGAACGATGAGCTGTCGTGTGGCTGACTCTGATCCCTCATTGACGTAATGTAATAATGTTTATATATGTAGTAGTTTGTTTTTTACATGTAATTACTGGATTTATATAAGTTTGTGGTAACTGTATTGTATATTACATCTTTTTAAATAATGATTGTATGTTTTTATAACCCGTTTCTCTGTCAAGGCACTTTTAATTTCCCTCGTGAGGGATAATAAAGTTCAATCTAATCTAATCTAATCTAATCTAATTAACGATTTATGCAAATTAGGCACCCTTCCCAAATGAATCTGCCAAGCTTGGTGCTTTGGACCAGTCGGTCACGATTCCGACCATATGCCACCTGACTAACAGAGATTATTTTGTAGACGTCTGTGTGTCAACAGAGGGCTTTATATATTTTTACAATGAAGTTGTACATTGACGGGGTGCATTTTTGTGAACAATTAATTATTTTAATGACCAGGATGGTTTGAAGCCAACATAATATCCCAATTGCTCCAAGTAATTTCAACCAAAGAAAAAGGAAAGTGGGGCTTATTGTTAACATTTTTTAATAAGTGGAGCTTTAATTCGGTGAAGCCCACTTCTCAAAAACTGCCGGATGGTGTGGGCATACGTATTGCAACGCCAGCACCGTGCGTCAACCAATCTTTGACGACTTTATATAGGCCTAAGTTGTGCATTTATTTTGATAAGAAATGACGCCTAGCCCGGCCGTTGATTGGTCGAAAATTCTCAGCTGACCCGATGATGTGTAACGTAATGTGGAGGCTTCCTCAAAGATGTCGATAGTTAAAGTTTGCATAGGGCTTATAATAATTATCTCTATGTTCTCGATTTGTGATCAGGGTAAGTTTTTCTTTATTATTATTATTTTTTGTTTTACTTTGGGGGATCTTCTCACTTATTTTCACTTGTGCCATTCTTTTCTTTTGGGTCTTTTATCCCCTGCAGTGCAGGTATACAGCTTACGCAACTCCACGACGAGAAGCAGCATGGCTACAGTGGTACTGTTTGTGGCAGTTTGGTGGATTGCCAACATGGTTGCCACTATAGCATCAAAGAAAGCAGTGAGTGGCATCAAGCCTGACGCCACTGACAGTCTGACTACTTGGACAGGAACAGTGGCCTTAAAGGATCTCAGGTGGATAGAATTGACAATGCTACAACACCTCTTGGGGGCGCTGTTAGCCAACACGTGGCTCCTTGTAGTCCGTCGCAAGTCAGTCTTTCCCAAAGAAAGTCTCAATCCCAAACATATGCTACTTGCAGTGACAGGCAACCTAGTGGGAAATCTGGGCACTAACGCATCTTTTGCTGCAGTCAGTTCGAGTCTAACTCAAGTCATCAAATCATGTGAACCAATCTTCACCTTTGTGTTCGCACTGCTGTTTTACAAGAACAGTGGTAACTTGAACCGAAATGTGCTGTTCTCAATCATCGCCATGGTGGTGGGCACATGTCTGTTTATCTCAGGCGAGGTGTCCTTCAATATTTGGGGACTTGGTGCTGCTGTTATTTCTAACATCGCTTTCCCGATACGGAACATCTACCTGAAGAAGTTGGGTCAGTCTTGGGATGATCCTCTTCAAAAAATTGCAGTGGTTTCTAACTTGAACGTCCTGATTCTGCTTCCATTTGCGATCATGAGTATGAGCAGCTTAGCTAAACTGCCTCCTATGGAGAGTTGCACCTCTGCCACCTTCCACTTCATCTACAACGCCGCCTCCATAATGGTGCTCCAAGCATTTAGTCCTGTGGAACATGCTATGTTGAACCTCTCGAAGAGAATGTTTGTTATTCTGGCAAATATGATTGTCTTCTCTACACCGTTTACATTCTGGACAGTCACTGGTCTCTTGGTTATTTTCATTGGACATTATAATAATCAAGGAGGCCGCATTTTCATGCAGATAATGAAAATGCGGCGATGTTTCTCTCCTGCCATCATCGTCTTTGGTATTACGTCATTTTGTTGGTTCGTGGGATTCTTTCGATCTGGTGCACTCATGAATCAATTACAAATGCAACTTACACGGTACCAACCGAGAGAAGTCATCACTACAGCTTGGGTATATGAACGACCGATTCCATACAATGTTGTAGAAAACATTGAAGCTTTTTTGGATAGGAATCCCGGTATGACCGTGAAGGTATTCTGCGGTACCTCCCAGTGTATGAAGGCAGTGCAAGACACACATAACCCAGAGATTACAGGGGAATTTCTAGTGCTGCCAGAGATCTTTAAGAATACCCCTCTGGAGCTCTGGTTAGCCCGACATCCAATGCACAAGATTCTGACAGGTGTTGACTTTGAAGATCACGTGTACGAGGCAGTGAGGTTAGCTCTGTTATGGCGTCATGGTGGCATTCATTTCGATCCCTCGATCAAACACGGCGAGTTCACTATCCCAGGGCACCAAGAGGCTTGGGTTAGTATTGGGACAAACCTAACACAAACTAAAACACATGGAGTTCTCAGTGTGTCTCGGTTTCCAGTGCACAGCGCTTTCATTGCGAATCTTACCAAAGCGTTTTGTCGCGAATACTCTCGGAATATTACCCATGGAAATCCACACTCGTTGCAGAAGTTTGATTTTCAGGGAGCGGTCAGTGATATGTTTAACGAATCTTGCATGTCTGGAGACCATTGTCCCACACACATAGAAACTGACCTCGAAAGGATTTCTGTAGTTGATGCAAGAAGACGCCATTTCGGAACACTTTCGTACGCAAGAAGAGCAGGGCGATCTACGCGCGCAAATCTTGGGGATGAGGTACAAAGTTTCCCTGGGATACAATTCTTACCTTTCGTTGACCGTTTTGTTGATAGAGATAACTTTGATAAAGCAAAGAGGGATAATCATATCCGGATGTTTTTCAACGCGTGGTATGGAGATCAAGGGATGACTTGGCCCCCACCGCGAAACATCGACCCCATCATGCTGTCTGTGCATATTAGTCCTCGAATCAGGCCAATGTTCACAAAATATATCAAATACCTTCGATCTAAAGAACCAATAGGATGCAGGGATTCTGACACTCTGAAGTTTCTGAAGCAAAACAACGTTGATGTCTTCCTTTCTGGCTGCCTAACACTCCTCATCAAAACTCCCAACATTGAAAACAAGCGTTCAGGCCAAATAGTCCTGGCCGACGTGGATAAAGCATTTGCTGCCCTTCTCCCTCCGGATATTGAACGGATAGCCATTCGTGTCACGCATTTAGGTGTGGGTGGCGGCAAATCTACCATCAGGGAACGTTTTCAAGCAGCATACGATTTGATACAAAACTACTCCGAGGCACATGTGGTTATTACGCAACGCATCCACTGCGCACTACCCTGTGTTGCCATGGGAACACCGCTTATTTTCATCAATTCCAAACACATGCCCGGTGGAGGCGCAGAACGTGGTTTGAAAGTCTCCTCCCGTGTCACGGGACTTACACCTCTTTTCCACACTGTAGATGCCTTCAATATGTCTCAAGAATCGATTGCGCGATGGCTGCGTGATTTCAACTGGAGAAACCCCCCGCCGAACCCCGACGTAAGCATGCGCATGCGCCTTCGGGCCACGGACTGGAATGTGATTCGACAAGACCAAGTTTTGTACGATAGCGCTCGTAAATTTGGCCTGTTACCCCTGTCACCTCCCGCCACAAACACGCCGAATCAATTAGTGTTCCATTTAATCCTGAACCGTACCAGAAACCCTACAAGCCTGGACTGGCCAAAATGGCGGACCATTGAATCGATATTTTATCATTATCCGCATGCTAAGATTATCATTCATAGTGATAGCTTACAGACAGGCCAGTTTGATGTATTAACAGAGTCCGGTTACACTATTGAAGTACACAGCCTCAGTGCCAGCATTGGTAATAACATAATGAAAAACAAAATTGATATCAAACATTTCCGGAGATTTGGATCCCGTTTAAACGAAGAAGACTTTGCAAAACTGGCGGTACTATTCCAATGGGGTGGGGTGTACATTGACGCAGATGTTATCCTCTTGCGACAACTCGATCTCTCGTTGATAAATACTCTAGTTTGGGGAAGTAAGGAGCAGAATTCATTCGATCTTTCTTTCATGAGGTTTGAAAGAGGTCATCCATTCCTAGAGACTATCCTAAAGGCTTCTGAATGGCAGGCATCTCCAAAAGACAGACATTTCTCTGCATTCGAAGCATTATTGTTTCATACTTGGTCTAACTACTTTAAAAACAGTGTGAAAGTTTTGGCCCAAAGAGATTTCTTCAAACAGTTCAGTGCCCAAAACGCAAGGGATTGCCTGCAGAGCACATCCGGACCTATTTTTGAATCCAATATGAAACAAATTCGACGTGAAGTGGTTTTTGCAAAAGTGAAGGGATCACTAACAAACCTGAGCAAACTGCAAAATGGAACGATTTGCAAATACTTGTTCAACTCATTTTGTGTCCTGTGTAATAATGTTTACTAACGCAAGTCATGACGAAAAAGTGAGCAGCGATATGGCCAAACAAATTGAAACTTGCTAAAATGTAATTCTTAAGTAACGGCAAACTTCTATCAATAACCTGGAATTTACGTCTAGTTTTGACCCAATTGAATAGAGAACAACCGTATGCACTGAAAAAGAATATATATATCTCACTGCTGTGGGTTAATCTTTGTCATCATTTTGGGTCAAAACTATTAGGCCCCCAAAAAATATATTTGGTCTCTGGTCAGACCAAAGTTCCGGAATTGACGCGGCGACGCGATTGTACAGACAAGTTGGGGTACTTTTTTGCTTTTTTGGTGTCCTCATGTACATTGGTGTCCTCCATGATTTGCCTTGGTGCTTTCGATCATTTGCCTTGGTGCAATTTCCCATTCCTTGGTGCTCTTTGGTAAAAAAAAAATGAGGTGCGGCAATAGAGGGCGCCGCGGAACTACCGCGGAATATTTTGGAGAAAAAAAAGATTGACGCGCATGATTAAAATCGACACGCGCGCTGACCAGAGACCGACTTATTTTTTTTGGCCTTACGCACACAAACTGTTACCTTCCACGGTTCCAAATCAAAATAACAGTTGTCTTATTCTGTACTCAAATTTCCCCCCGGTCATTGCAAGTGTGCACTGTGCAGATATCTTTTGGGCGAAAATTATTGGTTATACATTTTTTTTTAACTGAGAAAGGGGATATTAAGCATTAGTTTGCATTGATTCACAATACACATCATTGAGCTGGCCATTCTTACTTTGCTGTGTACAACAATATTTGATGTATTTCTCGACCATCCTAAAAAGTGGCATATTCTGGATGTTTTGCCTGCTATTTTGACTTTTAAACGTAGGATCATATAATTATTCTTTTTTGTGTGAATTGTTTTGTTTATAACAACAAAATTGAACAAAATAGCCTGTGGAACATTCAGCACACTTTTTGCGTGTCGTGACTTGACACCATACCATTGCTAATGCACTTAAAATGCACTTTTGAAAACCACCTTAAATGGTTGTTTTCTTCCGAACGATACCATTTCATGCGGAATAGTTGATAGGGTATTTGGTACCATGATCCCTATCGTCACTTTTGAGCAAGTTTTGGTATGTTTCCAGGTACATTTATATCAATGTGGATCATACGTGCCTCTAAGATAATATGTTACATTTGTGTTAAAACTTTGTGATTGACCTGATTGAAAGGTCAAGGTGTAAAAAGGTAAAAAAAAAATTCGGTTGGGGTAGATATATTTTTTTGTTTAACAAGAAATGTACGAGGTTGTGTTTATACAATAGTTTAAGTTTTAGATAATTTTAATACATTAATTTAAAGGATGGATAATGTTTGTTTATTTTATATTTTGTAAATTTTATGATTCCGCCCCCCCCCCCTAAGATCTCGGCCATCGAGTGACGAAAAAAATTGCAGCTCGGTACTTGCATAGAGCATCTCATAATGAACATAACCAAGAAATTTCATGACTATAGGTCAAGGGGTTTGGGAATTATGGCTAATTAATTATTCATATATACGAATGGTAATTGTGCTCTTTGTACACGACGTTTATGGGAAAATTCAGTTTCGGAATTTTTTGCAGAAGTTAGATTTGGCCACAAAAATATCTCCGGTTTCTAATATGCGCGCGCGTCGCTGTAGACATGCGCGTCGGTAAAATTAATTTTTTTTTTTTGTGTGTGTAAGATGATGTCTCAAAACCGCCAAACTCACTGGTTTGACTGGAATCCTGCTGCTGCACAATTTTAACGTGTTTTTAGATGGGGTTACGATCGAGTATAAGCTTTATGTGGCCTATGTGGGCTCCCATATAGTTTGCACTAAATTTAGTCGGGTACCATTTGCAGCAGGGTTGTAATTTTGTTATTGTGCGTCTGGAAGCCAGACTGACGGAGCGATGGTTGTGCATCTGGAACTAACCTGTAAATGATTTTTAATTAGATCAATATACTTCTCAAGCCTTATGGCCTTACTGAGGTCACCTTCAGCTGCACTTTGAAGGATATTTTGAGAGTTTTAAGGGGATCGAAGCGTCATCTGCAGCACCAGCCGACATTTGATGAGAAAAAAAAAGTTAGGTAAAAAAAAAGTCGCGTTGCCGCACCACTTTTGGGGCAAGCTCCATACCAGAAACCGGAGACCTTTTTTGGCCTTTTCAGAGATCGGTCAATGACATGCATCACCGATTTTGCATATCTGGAGACCGTTGTCCCACAACCACAGAAACTAACCTCGAGAGGATTTACACGTAGGATCATATATTCTTTTGGTGTGTGCATCTTTTTTGTTTAGGGCCTATAACAACAAAATTGCGTGGTATGGTAATTCTGCTCTATGTACACGACGTTTGTGGGGATTTTTTTTTTCAAGGCTATCGCATAAAGAAATAGCTGTGGGGGCGGATTCCGCCCCCGGCCCTTTTAGGGTTCAATAACAGCAATTTTCTTTCAATAACCTGGAATTTACGTCTAGTTTTGACCCAATTGACGGGGGAACAACCGTATGCACTGAAAAAAAAAATACATATCTCACTGCTGAGGGTAAATCTTTCGTCATCATTTTTGTAGAGGGTCAAAACTATTATGCACAACCTGTTACCTTCCACCGTTCTAAATCAAAATAACAGTTGTCTTATTCTATACTCTAATTTTCCCCGGTCATTGTCAGTGTGTACTTCGCATATATCTTTTGGACGAAAAATATTGATACACATTTTTTTTAACTGAGAAGGGGATGTTGAGTATTAGTTTGCATTGATTGACAATTCACATCATTGAGCTGGCCATTCTTACTTTGCTGTGTACAACAATATTTCATGTATTTCTCGACCATCCTAAAAAAGTGTCACATTCTGGATGTTTTGCCTGCTATTTGACTTTGACACGTAGGATCATATAATTATTCTTTTTTGTGTGGATTGTTTGTTTATAACAACAAAATTGAACGAAATAGCCTGTGGAACATTCAGCACACTTTTTGCGTGTCGTGACTTGACACCACACCATTGCTAATGCACTAAAAATGCACTTTTGAAAACCACCTTCAATGGTTGTTTTCTTCCGAACGATACCATTTCATGCGGAATAGTTGGTAGAGTATTTGGTATTATAACACCTCGCCCACAGTTCTGTGTCTTGATTAGCCGAGAGCGAGTCACATGATACTTTCTATTTTTGCTATCTTTCTGTGCACGGCCAAAAGTACTATGCCCGTAGCAACCAAAGTACTATACCATTAGCAACCAAAGTACTATTTCCACGGCGCGGCATTTGTGTGCAAATGCATGCTGGTGTGCGTGTTGCGTTGTGTGCGCGTTTGTGTTAAAACTTTGTGATAGAGACCTGATTGAAAGGTCAAAAGTATAAAAAGGTATTAAAAAAAACAAACATTCGGTTTGGGTAGATTTATTTTTTGTTTAACAAGAAATGTACGAGGTTTTGTTTATACAATAGTTTAAGTTTTAGATTGATATTAATACATTCATTTAAAGGTGGATAATGTTTGTATATTATGTTACCTTATATTTAGTTTTCTATGTAACCTGTGTAAATAAAAAAAGGTGACTAAATATATATTAACGATCACAAGTAGTCGGATTTAACATGAGATTCATCAGTATAGCCATAGCGCACATGGCTATAGTTTGACCATTACTTCGATGGACAATACAGAAAAGTTGACCCTTGGTGGCGTGCTTCCGGACCCCTCGAACAGGAAAATTAGGGTGTAAAAGTCAGAGTTTTTAAAATTATTTTTGGGTACATTGATGTAGAAAAATATCCCCCTCGGAAAAGGTCTTTGTAAAATTGTGACTAGCATCCCAATTTATAGAAACTGAAAAATCGCATGACGTGAAAGAGAAAAATAGTGCTGAAAATTAACCTCTAACTTCCTGTCACAAGACGTGTGAAAATTATTCCTTTTATTTTCCGAGTTAATTTATTAATAGACTAAATTTGTACTCCCGTAAAGTGTTATGTAACGTCTGAGGTTGATGCTAGGTGAATTATACAAATCGTAATTCCTTTTCCCTTTGTTGCATACCTATTCCGGGCTTGCACCCATGTGGGGCTCAACGGTGGCGCAAGCTCCAGTAAGTTTGTATTCAGAACTGGGTTAATCGGGTAACTGGCATTCCGGGGAGGGGTATAAAACCTCGCCCACGTGTTTTTGGATTGAGTTTTGCGGGACGGGAGCCGGAGTGAGTGTGTCTCGCCGGGTTGGGTGTTCGCTAAGCAGAGAGGTGTGGACCTTCAGCGCTGAAGCTGTCGAGTTGGGAGCCGCCGAAGGCTGCGTGTCGGGCGGACTTCTTGTACCCTCTTTGAGATGGGAGTTTTTAAAAATCCCGCTTGTGGGCCATTGAGGCCTATTGTGTTAGTACCGCATCGCAATCTCCCGGGAACGCCAGACCCACGGATAGGCCCGTACGAAGTCGAAGGCCGTGTGAGTAATTATTATTATTAGTTATGTATAATCATTTATTGTGTAGTGTGTATTGTATACTATAGTTTTACAGTTGGAAGAATGTTTTTCATGAGTTTATATTTATCAAGTTTTGTTGTATAAGTTTTGGTTTCTCTTTGGAAGATGACATGATTTGCTTGGAGAATTGACTTTTGTTGAGAAAGATTCATTGTATTTTAATGTCTTTCTGTATTTTCACATTTAAGATGAATCCCGTTTCATGGCGGCATTTGAAGTGAAAACCGCGTTCATTGTGTGAAGTTGTAATATTTCAACAACTTATAACCTGTGTATTTTCTTAATGTAAAACGTTGGTACAACTAGCATGTTTATCAGAATGCCCTAATGGATATTACAGGGCTTCCCGTAATCCTGCCCTACGATGGCTAGCGGGGATGCCACTGTCCTTTACTTTCACTGAAGTTTGACGTGACGGGAACCTCCACCTACTCTCCGACGGTCGGTGCGTAGGGGGCCTACCTCTGTACCAGACCGGGTTCTCAAGCTCTCATGTTCCTGGGGGAATCGTCCCACGGCGACGCTCAAGCCGGACCCAAATGCTTATGTTGTAATTAATAGAGCTGTGTTATACTTATATTGTAATAAATAGAGCCGTGTCAGATTTACGTTGTTTATAATGGGGCAATGTAACGCGAACACTAAAACATTCTGGGGACACAAACTGTGAACATAATTTTGGCCGGTAATCAAACGGAT